ACTGACCATAGGGTCGTCCTGTAGGTGGCAGTGTTGAGCTCGGTGTTTTTCTTTGCCACAGAGAAGAAAAGCAGGCAGCAGCACATTTTTAGTACCCATCTGCAGCAGTAATTTGTAGTCGCACTACCGACAAGCTACTCCTTACTTTTAGTAAATAAAAATGAACGGACTGGAGGACGAACAGATGTCACCACAAAACTTCCTATACGGTGAGCTAATGTTGTAAACTTGTCTTTTGTTAACGTTTCAAACACTCCTGTGACTGCTAGTTGCAGTGCCAGAGAGCATAGAAGAATGCTAACCTTCAGGCTAATATGTTAGCTGCTGGGCTTTTTCCGCTCTGAATGTCGAATAAAACATATGCAATTTAATGAGGCCATATTTGGTTGATGAAGTCTGAACCTCGGTTCCGAATGGGGTTTATATTTTTTAGTATTGTTAACCGGACCGGAGGTTCACCGTGTGTCCTCTTGAACAACTCGGCCACACACGTGGTTTGTTAAAACCAACATGGCTGCGCTCATGTTTCACGTTAAATGCTAAAATATGTGAATTTTTAGACTATGAAAAGCAGGAACTCTTATGTAGTATGGTGTTAAATTATATCTTTGGTTAACTGTGTCTTGAACGAATCACTTTTTTTAAACTCGTTGATTGATGGCCAAGAAAAATCAGGGCAACGTGGCTCAGACTCCAAACATATGATGCTGTCTTACTACAGATTTAACCACAACGAAATCAGGTTTGACTAACTCTAGTGTCGYAGATCTTATTGTATATACTGTATATTATTCCTGACATTTTGTATAATTTACAATGTGGTTATTAGACTTAAACCTACAATTTATCCTTTTTATTTCCACAACTGGTTGTATCTCATTTAGCTAAAGTAGTTTAAAGTACAAAAGGCAATTTATAAAGTAACTTAGTTTTCAGGTAAATTTCAGTTCAAATAATTTAAGCCCAGATAAAAAAGTTTGTTTATTCAATGAATGTGATTCATTGTCTTTATCCAGTGTTTTTAACTCAATTATTCGTTTACTCAGTTGCATGGTTTAATTATTCAGGGTTGTGTGTTATTTGTACTTCAGGCTAAATATTTAAAGTGTGACAAAATGGTTTGTCTTTTCAAAAGGGACCTTTTCCTTAAATTCCCAATGACATAGTAAGTGTATGATAAAAAACTTTATATATACTGGACATTTATTTATATATTTTTTTGCCACATGAGTTCATTTATTTCACTTGGGACTAGTCTCCACGTGCTGTAATTAAACCATGTCAATAGAGCTCCCTCTGGTGCACGGTTTGAAAATAGTCATCGAAACCTAAAGTGTTTCTTAATTTAAGGTTTTAGCATAAGTCAGTCATTGCATAGCTTATTTTTTTCTTATTTGCCATAAAGTCCGATTCAGGGGTATTAACTGAAATGTTTGCTTTAGGATGTGTCGTGGAAGCTGGAAAGGAGGTGGTCTTCAATCCTGAAGATGATGAGTTTGATCATCAGCTAGATCTGAGGATGGTAAGATCTGCTCTCTTTTTTAAATTTATTTATTTATTTGTAAGATGGGATATCAAACTCATATACTCATACTTTATAGTATAAATTACATTATACTTAGGGGTGCATTGATTGCTGTTTTCTGGCCGATCACTGATTTTTTTAAAAACCTGACCTGCCGATTCAGATTTTTATATATATAACTGACATTGTTAGGTGTTATAAGGTCACAAGGTCACACCTTTAATGTTCYGATCTTATTTTATTGAAGAGAACATTGAACAACACACTTGAAACAATATAAACTTGTTTTAACTCAACTACAGCCCTCTCAGTAGAGCAGAATGGGACAGGGGGTGTAGATAAGGTCAGTTGATAAGATTGTAATGTAAACTTAAGGTAATTGCATTTATTTATTCATTTCTCCCTGATAATGTTTTTGTATTGATCTGCATTAAAACAAAAGCTGGCATCTTCTGTATTGATWAGTAAGTTCAGTATCGAGGTTTTATAAGACCCTAAGCACAAATTCCAAAAGACCTTTACCTGCTTGCCAATAGTGAGCAGCATTTTAATTTACTGTATTAAAGACTGGAGGCAGCAACTAAATGTTAAACAAATATGTTTAAGCAGGCAAGCTTAAACAATAACAATTTACAGAAATGCATGACAGCTGAAACCKTAATTTGACCTCCTGTAGCCTGATTGTAAACTTTCTTCATGATCAAAGCTGAATGAAGAACTTTCTCACCAGATTTCGCAGGTTTGTCTCAGACAGATTTGTGGTTGTGCTCCAGTTCAGCCAGTGTTTTTCATTCAGATCATCTTCACAGAAGCACTCAGGAGGGTCAGCGAAAGTCTCTAAAATCTATAACTCGCACATCCTGCTTTACTAGGAGGAAACTCCTCCGTAAGCACTCCTCTGTATTAAGAGATCAGCACTGATCACAGATTCAGAGTCTGCAGCTGGTACCTGAATATGAGGCCTTGAGCTCTGCAGTGACGCCCACATGTTGAGGGGATAATATATTTTGACCACTTTCAGGTTTCAGTAGGGAAGTTTTTATTTTGTAGGATTTCAGTTTTTGTGTCAAAATGCTGACGGACGGCCCAAGTGTGAGTCTGTGGAACTGTGATTCTACAGATTTTGAAAAAGACTTTGTAAGATTTTACATATGAGCTTTATTAGTACTTAAACTCACATCTGGACCAGGCTTTCACTATAGGACTTTGGAGGAGGGCATCAACACTTAAAGCAAGACACACACACCCTTTATGAAGTTGACATAAGCCTGTGAAATTTATGTATGTTTGGGAAAAAAGGTTAGACTGGGACTGGAGATTGTGAAAACACATAACAGCAGCTACTAATGCTGTAACATTACTACCCACCTCTACCCAAGCTGGTGCAATTTATTTTCAGTCTCTTCCTCTGGCTTCATAAAATAATTGCAATCATCCCCTCTGCTGCTTAAGTAGTTTATGGAAGTTATTGAAATTTGTGTAGAGTAAAAAAGAAAAAAAAAAAGCTTGGTGGACCCAACAATTGGCACAATACAAAGTATTTTTTAACCTTATTTGCCTAAAGAATAACATGGTGTTTGGCAAATATCTCCTCAATTAAAGCGTGATGCTTGCATAGACAGCTCTGACGTGAGTGACACACAACGTAGATGTTAATTGCTGAAACCACAGAAACTCTTAGTGGTTTGTTGTTGCTGCTCTCAGAGCGATCAGGTGTGGAAGTGATGAAAAAACTGATGAGTTTTCTTCTTTCTGCAGGCCTGTGTGGACCCCAGCACAAAAGATCAGCTTAACGTGGTGGAGGTGGAGGGACACAACTCTGAGGGTCAGAAAGTCAAAGCAATGCTGGTTTCACTCAAGCCCTCTACCCTGCCAAGTGTAAGTCTTTTTATTTCCACTGAAATAAAGTGCAGTAGCACTGCTAATGTGTGTATAATTATTATTATTCTAGCTCATATTAATTCCCTGTTTGATCATTTTTAATAGGTGTGCCTTGGTGGGTTCACGATTTCACCCCCAGCAGTGTTTCGTCTGAAGGCTGGTTCAGGTCCAGTCCACCTCAGTGGCCAACACCTCGTCAGTGAGTATTTAAAGAATGGTGTCTAAAGAAAGAAACATGTTTCCTAAAGTTAACTTCTGTTCATCTTTTCAAAATTGTTCAAGTGATGGAGCCTGATCAGTCATTTGATGAAGAGGAGGAGGAAGAAGAGGAGGAGGAAGAAGAGGTAGAAGTTAAAATGTCAAATAAAAGACCTGCTGCATCCCCAGCCTCTAAACCTCAGGTTTGATTTATTTATTTGCAGTTTTTGTGTAGTTTGTCAGAAATTAGTTTCAGTTTAAGTAAAACATTTGATTTATTTTACAGAAAAAAATGAAAATCGAAATGGAGGAAGAGGATGAGGACGAAGATGACGAGGATGAGTGAGTGTTGAGCTTCACACAATGACAATAATAAAACCTTATGGTGAAAACGTTTCACAAAAGAAGTTTAAACGTCAATACAAACCGGTTGTTGGATTTTGTTTTTAAGGGATGATGAAGAGGATGATGAGGAAAGTGAGGAAGAAGAATCACCTGTAAAGGTGAGCAAGGACTGCATGTTTCTATATAATGAGTTTAATGGGTTTTTGTTCTCCAAGAGCTGCCTCTTATTTATTTATTTGTTTATTTTTTTTATAAAGGCTAAACCAACCCCGGCTAAACAGAAGAAAACTCCTCAGAATGGCAAGAGCTCTGCACCCAGCACTCCAGCCACAAAGCAGGTGAGATGTTTTGTTTTTTATTTTTTACAGAAAGCGTTGTTAGTCTTCATGAACAGTGTTCAGTGTAGGAAAATTGTCTTTAAGTTTGTTTTTCTGCTCCTAACAATGATTTCTTACAGGAAAAGTCTCCCAAAGCGAAAGGAGAGAAGTCACCTAAAACTCCCAAAGCAAATTTAACTGTTCCTGAAATAAAAGCAAAGATTATGGAGGCAACAAAGAAGGTTTGGGCCTATTTTATTTATTATTATTATTATTATTATTAACAATCCATCTTATTATTTTAAAAAGCATGGATGGTGAAAGAACAAAACATTTTGCTTATGGTTTGAATGCTTTTTTGTTCGTAGGGTATCTCATTACCTAAGGTCCAGTCCAAGTTTGAGAACTTCCTGAAACATGGCCAGAAAGTCTCGGATCCCAAGGTAAGTTAATAAAAGCTACCTGCGGCAGCTGTCTTGAGACTGGAAAGCTGCTGCAAGTATCTTCCTGAGCGTTGAAATCTCTGCCTGCTGCTCTACAGGCCTATCTGACGTGTGATTGGTCAAAGGCAGAGAGGAAATTTCTCCATTAGTAATTTATTGAATTTACATTAGAAGGATAATAAATCTAGACTGATTATATGTAGGTGTGTTAGGGCCACGCTATGAGGTTTATTACAAGAATCAAGTTGTATGAGAATAAAGTGAAAATATTTGGTTAAAGTCACAATATTACCAGAGTAAAGTTAAATTATTACAAGAATAAAGTTGTGATATTATGAGAATAGTTTTAACATTAGAATAAACGTGAATTATTAGAATAAAGTCATTACCAAAATAAAGTTGATATATTGCCAGAATTAAGTTGTAAGAGAATAAAATTGAAATATTAAGAGAATAAAATCTGTATTACCAGAATAAAGTCAAAATACTAGAACAAGGTACAAATCTTACCAGAATAAAGTCAAAATATTACAAGATTAAAGTCATGATATTACCAGAATAAAGTTACGTTATTATGAGACATGGTGGATGTAGTTATATGAGAATAGTCATAAGAGAATGAAGTTGAAATGTTAACAGAATAAAATCTATATTACCAGATTAAGGTGAGAATAGTTGAGTTGTGTCGTATAGAGTAAAACGAAACTCTGGTTTTTTTTTAATTTGTAAATGGTGCCACAAGGGGGCACCAATGTCAAATATTCAAAGTTTTCTAATGCAAATATTATTGTGATGTTTTTATATTCTTTTTGCTGATTTTACACTTGTCTGTTTGTGAGCACCACATTATTAATTTTTTTTTATTTATTTTTTTGTTTTTTGTTTCTCCAGGTCATTGCAGAGCTGTGGAAATGGCGACAGACCTTGAAGGATGAGAAATAACTGACTGTAGTTTTAACATTTTACAACTCGTCACCGCAGCTTCTCTGAAATCTGTGGAAGCCTGACTCTGTGCCTCACTCTTTCATTGAATCAACCCTCCTGAATGAGCTGGTGATGGAGACGGTGTGCTGTTGGCATTTGTGGATTTGCCTCCATCACCCACTCATTTGGGCATTTGTTCTGGTAAATGTATTCTGGAGCTAAATTACAAGTTTGCTGAATCATCAGCGTTTAGAGTTTTGATTTGACCTCGTTTGGGAACAGCAGAGTAGTCCCATTGAACAACAGTGTTAGTACAATAAAACTGATAAAAATCAACAATAAAACAAAGTCAGTTCTTTTAACCGTCCAGATCGTGTGTTTTTTTTTTTAACAAGCTTAATAAACCGTTTGAAACACCCAACATATTAAGAGATCCATTTGTTTTGTGTCAGCACCACCGACAGCCCACAGGCCAAAGGTTGTGTACCTTCAAAGGCGTTGCTTAAGGGAGTTTGCAAATGACTTGTGTAATCATTTCAGATGGTCCAATGTGAACTTGAGTTATATGGAAGGTACAAATGATGTGCTTATTTTACTAGTAAGTTGGATTAAAATGGAAGTGCATGAACCCTGTCAAATATGACCATTCCATGCTGTTAAACGGGTTTAATTTTAAGATTTTTTTTATAGCCGAGGCGTTGAACGGTCAATCTGAGTACAATGCGGATCTGTTAACTGCTAACTGAAGAAGTGTAACCAGCTTTCAGGATATGTACATTGTTTTGTTTCCCCCCCAGTTTTTTTTTATATATACTGTATTTGCAACAATTTACAATTAAATTCTCCTGAACAAAAAAAATGTTTTGACGTTCTTTTGTTTTCAAAATTGTATTTAATATTGACTGTTTGTTGGTAGTGTTTTTCTCCTTAAGTTTTCTTGACTTTATTGTAGCTATATTTTATTAAGTGTTCCCAGCAGAGAGTGCTTTAGATGTTTAAAGCAGTTTAAACCAGTTTGAATTGTGGATGCAGAGTGGGCCCAAAAGCCACAGGCCGCCTGTTTGTTTTGATCTAAGATGATGACCATGTTCTGGATATGGTGAAAAAGATGGGCCCCCCTCACCTATAACTTGATGAGGTATTCATATATTTTATTTTCCTGTTTTTGAACAAAAAAAGGGGGGCCTGAGTCTTTTGACTCACCCTGTAGCTCTAYTGTTCCTAAAGTTAACTCTCCTAAAGTCTAACTTTTTTTTTCATTGAACAATCAAATTAGTCTGCCAGAGAAAATCTTAGTGACCTTTGATCTTATAAACWTTTTGTATGTAGGTGTGAATAAAGAAAACTGGCGTAATGTTTAACCCAGCATGGAAATTAAATGGATGAACCTTGAACAAGTTCCAGTGTCGTTTTATATTTCTTAAGTTGGGTTTTTATGATGACAAATATTTAAAAACACTTAACACATGCACACACAAGTGGTAAGATACCTCATATTTTGCCAATTAAACCCTTGTAAAAAATGTATACAGGACTATTTTGTTGCCATATTGCACATTGTTTTTAGAATTAATTTTTCACACTGATGTTAAACCACAAATTCTAAACTCCACAACATGGATGCAGCAGACTGATTGGTTATTTTATTCCCATATGTCAGTCAACCTCAAGTCAAAAGTTAAAAAAACAAAATCCTGTTTGCTCACTAGTAAAAGCACAGCAAACATTTTGTGTAAGCAACTGCTGTCCAGTACAAGTACAGTAACTGGAAGAGGATGATGGAAAAATATCTAGTAATCTGCCATAATCCAGCACTGAACGTTCCTGCACCATCATGGTGTTTATACCTGACAGGTGTGTTTTTAATTAAGCACGTGTTGCACACCTGGGAAATGTGATTAACCAGTTAGTTCATTTCAAGAGGCAGTATCTAAAGTAAATGTGTTAAAAGTATGGAAGGGCCTTTTAAACATAAAATCAGATTCACCACACTTCTGTTCCAGATATTTGAAATTGATTTATGACAAGTCTTATTAGTTAATTAATACATCTCTAATTAGAGTTTGAACTAAACTAAATACTAATTTGAGATATCTCTAAATTCTGACTAGTATAAATGACATCAGATTTACCATTGGTTTGTACTGTATGGCACTTTCTATTCAAGATATCTTAAAGGTAAAGTTCAAGATATCTGTTAGTTTTGACTGGTCATTATTTGCTTTCAATAAATCTCGCTTTTTGTTCTGACAGTCATAATTCCAAACGTATAACATACAGGG